AAAAAAAAAAAAAAAAAAACTCAAAAAGCCCTAAACACCCCCAAAAGAAAAAACCTACAAAACCCAAGGACCCTAAGCCTGGCGTTGGAGTCAACCTCTTTTGCTGCCAACTTGGGGCTGGCGATGTTGGGAGGCACCGAAAATTAGGGGTACCTTATTTTGGGGTCCTTATAATAAGGATCCTACTATTTGGGGTACTATATTAGGGTCCCCTATTTTCGGAAACCCCCATGTTGGGAGGCACCGATCCTCCAAGATCCCTCAATTCGTTTAGGCTTTTTTGGGGTCTTTAGGGTTTTTAGGGGTTTTAGGGTCTTTAAGGTTTTTGAGGCCTTTAGGGTGTTTAAGGTTTTTAGGGTCTTTAGGGTTTTTGAGGTCTTTAGGGTTTTTAAGGTTTTTAGGGTCTTTAGGTGTTTTGGGGTTTTTAGGGTGTTTGAAGTCTTTAGGGTTTTTAGGGGTTTTGGGGTCTTTAGGGGGTCTTTGGGGTTTTCAGGGTTTGTTCTGTTTAAGGGGTTCCTTAAAGGTAACCAGAAGGGCTTCTTAAGGGTACTATCCTCAACTAGCCCTAAGGGTCCAAGTAGTCCTTATTTGTGGGTTTTGGTACCCAAAAAAAAGCCCCAGAGTCCGTCTGTAGTGAGTACTTAGGGTTACTTAAGGAATAGACCTTAAGCTATAGTAACTATAGTAGAACCCCCACTATGGTTTAGAGTGTGTGTCGTTGATTAAAGGATTGTGGAAGCTCTGGAAGAAAGGTTTGCCGAAAGCTGACGTTGAGGCATTTAAGGTTTTAGCTACTTGGTTAAAAGGCTGATGGGACTAGTACTATAAGGGTAGTTCTCTAATTTCGGATCCCTTGTGAGGTCCCCAATATGGTACAGCACCCTTATAACAAAGGACCCCCAAAGGACCCAATTTAGAGAACTACCCATAGGGGCACAAAATTAGTCATTCTTGCGACCTCTCAATGTATGAACCTGATTAAGAAAAACTGGCCCTATACTATCACCCCAATAGCATTAGGATTCATATAAAGACCCCTAATAAAGACCCAGGGTTTCTTAATCAGGTTCCTACATTATACTACAGGCACCACTGCACTTGGCTTCCGAATCCAAGTCTCCCAGGAATTTCCTGAGCTCCCCCTCCCATTGCTCGAGCAGGTGGGACGGACACCTTTCTCTTTTCTGCTTGCATGGCTGGGGGGTTGGGGGTTTTGGGTTTGGCTAAAGGCGTAGGTTTAAGAGTTTTGGGTTAGAGATAGCCATGGCTTTTCTGATTCTTGCGTGGTTTATCTTATCGATTGTCGTTGTCGCTTCTACTCTACATGGTCGTTCGATCTCTGTTTTGGCTGCTGATTGGTCTCCGTTGCTTTCTCTGACATTTTTGTGCTCGTGCTGTCGTGCAGGCGTTAGAAGGGTGTAGGTGTGTTCGGGCAGTAAGGGGTTTTGCAGGCTGCGGCTTCGGGTTGAGAGGTTGAGAGGTTCAAGGGATTTAAAGGGTTCCTCCAAGGAATTCCACCTGCCCTCTTCAGGACGGTTCGGGTGTGGAGCTTAGGCCATTCATCGAAACGTTTCAAAAACCTAGACCTTAGTGGTTTAGCGTTTGGGACTAGGGCTTCGGAAACCCGAGCATCGAGGCCCTAAAGGCCCTAAACCCTAACCCTAAAACCCTAAAACCCTAAAACCCTAAAACCCTAAAACCCTAAACCGTCGGAGCTCAGAGCTCTTTTCGGAAACCCTAAGCGAAGCCTTGAAGGACCTCTTTGAAAAACCCTGGGCTTTCAAAACCAGGGGCTTGGGGTTTAATACAGGGGCCTGAATAATTAGAATGGGGTTTGGGGGTATCTTATACTATCATAAAAAAATAAGGAACCCCTAAAACCCGATTCTAATGATTTTGGCCCCTACATTTGGGTTTCAAAACCTGGACCCCGAATGTCACACCCTACTCTAAACCCTAAACCCTAAACCCTAAACCCTAAACCCTAAACCCTAAACCCTACTCCCCCTTTCGGCTGAGGCACATAATGAGAGTTGCAGCGGTCGGGATGAACCCCTTGGCCTTTACGTCGGTCCTGGGTGGGCTATTTAGGGTTTAGGGTTTAGGGTTTAGGGTTCAGGGTTCAGGGTTTAGGGGCCGGTTGTTTGCGAGCGGCTTCTACGGTGCGGAGGGTTAGGGTTTAGAGTCTAGGGTTTAGGACTTAAGTGAATGGTGCGAGGCTTTGGTGTTGAGGGTTTAGGGTCTAGGGTTTAGGGGTTAGGACTCAGAGTTTAGGGTTTAGGGTTTAGGGTCTAGGGTTTCGGGTTTAGGTCGGCTCGCAGGAAAATAACGGCACGGAGGACTGCGTCTTGAAAGCCCTAGACCTTAAACCCTAAATCGAGCATAGTATGGATCCCTTCACAATCCCTTAGAAAGGCCCACTGAGGATGCCCCCAGAGAGCCCTATATCCCTTAACTAAGGAATATACCTTAAATTATAGTAGGATAAATAAGGGGTATATATTGGGCTCTCTGGGCCTTGATAAAGGCCCTATATAGATACTCAACACCGAGCCCCACATTCGAGCATCATGCTGAAGGGCTCCCTAGAAGGATCGATGAATCTATGCCGGTTCTATCCTAAGGTTTGAGGCTTAGGACTTTTGAGGTGATCTGTATGGGTTCTATACTAGGGTTTAGGTTTTCGGTCGTAGGTTTGGGGCTTTGGCTGCAAGCCCCAAGCCCCTAAACCCCTTGACCCTAAGCTCTAAACCCTCACCCCTAAACCCTATACCCTAAACCCCAAACCCTAAACCCTAAACCCTATACCCTAAAGCCCAAACCCTAAACCCTGAACCCTAAACCCTAAACCCAAAACCCAAAACCCTAGACCCTAAAACCGACACTTTCGGGTCTCCGCACTTTTGACAGTGACTTGCACGTCGCTCCTCAGAGCGCGCCCCAAGAGACCCTAAACATCTTGAGGCTGAACCGGTAGAGTTTAGGGTTTGGGGATTAAGGTCCTATAGAAATTAGGGTTTGGGGTTTAAGGTCCTATGGAGTCGTTTAGGGTTTGGGGTTTAAGGTCCTATAGGGCTTAAACCCTAAACCTTGAACCTTGTTTAGGGTTCTTTTTAAGTGCACTGGCCCCTTTCTCCGCTGTTCAGGGTTTAGGGTTTGGGGTTTTAGGTCGTGTAGGGCTTTCGGGTCGCTAAACCCTGAGGCTTACAAGCTTGCAACTCACGGCTTCCCGGGACCCTGAAGCCTACGCTGCAGAGTTTAGGGTTTAGGGTTCAGCTTTTTAGGGTTTAGGGTTTAGGATTCAGTTTTTAGGGTTTAGGGTTTAGGTTTCAGTTTCTAGGGTTTAGGCTTTAGGGCTCAGTTGTTAGGGTTTTTGGTTTCTTTTACGGTTTCGAAGTTTAAAGTTAACGGCTTAGGATTTAGGGCGTCAGGTTCGGGTTTAGGGCTTGAGGCTCGCATGCACCGGATCCATCGCTTCGAAGCGAGATGCACCCGAGGAGCCAAGCCGGCTGTGGCAGCTCGCCCACCTCGGTGTAGGGCTGAGGGTTTAGGGCTTAGCGTTTAGGGTTTAGGGTTTAGGGTCTAGGGCTTAGGGGCCACAAGCAATTGGGGAAAAGCGTGGCCTGAATAGTGACGAACTCTAAGGAACAGTCGCAGTAGCTATTTCGGCATGGGAATGGGTGTGTCCACTGAGGTCCACAATTCGTGCTCCTGGATTTAGGCACTCGAATAAACGCAATCCTAAACGCTAAAACCTTCGGTTTAGGGTCTAGGGTACCCTAAACACCCCGAAGCCCCGAGACTTTCTCTACAACGGCACGAAGCCCTGAACGCCAGATCCCTGAGCCTTAAACCCTAAATCTTAAACCCCTAACCCCTAAACCCTAAACCCGAAATCCCTAAATCACTAAGCCCCAAACCCCAAACGCTAAGCCGAAAACAAAACAAATCCCTGGCTGCTCTCGATGGGGACCCAGATCATGGCAGTCCGTAATTGGGCTACATTGCAAGATCTCAACTTACTCCTAAAACCCGTATCCCTAAACCCTTAGATAACCTGATACCTCAATCGAACTCTTGAAGATCCCTTGAAGGCCTAAACCCTAAACCCCTTGTAGATCCCTTTCAGGAGCACTCTACCCCAAACCCGAAACCTCTTATAGATCCCTTTAAGGAGTACTCTACCTACCCTATACCCTAAACCCCTTATAGATCCCTTTCTCGGAGTCTTCTGGGAAGAATCCCCTAGACTTTAGACCCTAAACCCTAAACCCTAAACCCTAAACCCTAAACCGAACGACGGGGCCTTCAAGGAAGCCAGGCCAATGGCGACGCAGGTCTTCCCAAATCCCATCTTGTCGGCTAGGAGGCCTCCTGAGGTGAGGGCTCCGTTCAAACCCATGTGTCTCAAATCCGTCTACTAATGCCTAAGGCTGCTAAGGGTTTAACACTTCAGGCATTTAGAGCAACCCCAAAAAAGGAACTGCAATGGAGCAACCTAGGTATCTTAAGAAAGGGATGTATATAAAATACCCTAAACCCCAGTTGGAAAGCTACACTGGTTAGGCTCGAATCCTCCAGCTTGTGCCTCTAAGGCGAAAGCCCTAAATCCCAACCGTGAGCCCTAATTAAGCCCTAAACTCGAAACCCTTATGGGTAGTTCTCTAACTTAGGGTTCGTTTTGTTATAACGGTGCCGTACGATATTGGGGACCTAAAAGAGGACCCTAACTTAGAGAACTAGCCTTATAGAACCCTTACTGATTCCTTTAAGGGAAGCTCTAAAGGAACCCTATGACACCGCAAACTCTCCGCAGGGAAGGTTTGAAGCTAACCCT